AGTTATCCCTCTTGTTCCCAAGTAACTTGTAGGAATGTTTGCTGTGCGTTTTTTAATCAAAGGCAACAAGAGGGAAGCTTTCCGGTGTGTAAGTAGTTACAAATGCAAAAAACACCAAAATGAACCAAATTCAGTCTTTAAGTCCTGCTTATAGCAGTTTTCTTAGAACACTATTTTATATGAATGTATATAATTCTGTTGCGCTTTAATACATAATAATAATTATAAACAGTAGAAGTTTTTCCCAAGCTCATGGTTACGAGCCAAAGACATACAGTGCAGAAGCAAATGGGCTCGCTGGTGCTTCTGATTTAAAGAGACCGTCTCACACCGCATTTAATGAACGCTTACAGCATAAGCCCAGCTATAACAAACATGATGGAATGTAAACAAAGCAACATGAGGAAATAAAGTAAGTCTCTGATAGTTGCTCTTTTGGTGTTGTTTCTGATTTGAAGAGACCGGTTCACATCACAATTAATGAACACTTATAGCATAAGCGCAACTATAGCAAACATAATGGAATGTAAACAAAGCAACATCTCTCACTTATACAGAGGTTGATTCGAGGGGGATTGCCGGGGATCGCCGTTCCCCAAGTGAGGTGTGGGGGCGGGGCACACGACAAAGCCCCGCCCCCTGCTTCCGGCCACCCCGCTTCCGGTCCTCATTCAGCCAGGAGGAGGCAGGAGAAGAGGGAGGGTAAGTTGCTCCCCCCCCGCCTCTCCCCACCTCTGCCTGTGGCCAGGGAGGGCCTTGGTGGTGTTTATGCAGGGCAAACAGGGAGGTGTCGATTTTATGTGCTGCTGATGCTTCTAAGAGGGGCATCCATTTTTCTTGAAGATTGTCAGGAACGGGTTGATTTTCAGATCGTAGGATGCTAGTGGAAACTTTGTCCTGTAAAAAGAAATCCCACAATTTCAGATACCAGTCGCTCAATAGCAGCGTCTTCTTAGTTTTCCAATGAAATGCAATAACATTCCTAGCGGCCGCAAGACACAATTCTATCAACTCTTTCATAAGCACATTGGGGGCAGGATGGCTCCAATGATTCAAAAGGAACAGGGAGGGGATTACAGTGGACCGGATTACTGCAAGGGCAGTACCATGGTCGGTCCACTATTCCCTGAAGGCCCGTCTGAATATCCCACCCCGACCCTGTTTAGACGGCGAGCAGATTTTAGCTCGCCCACGGAGCCAAATGGACCATGTACGGCTTCAGATGGCTCTGCGGGATCCGATGCCCCCTGGCGGCTCATTGGATGAGCTTGTGGGGGACTGGCATGACCGACTCTCCACAGCCATCTATGAGATCGCTCCCCAGCGCCCTCTGCGCTCTCGCACTAGGCTAGCCCCCTGGTATACCCAGGGGTTACGGCTTATGAAGCGGGAACTAAGACGGCTAGAGAGACGGTGGCGGCGTGCCCGCGACGAAGCATCAAGAACATCCTATAGGACGTTTATGAGATCCTATGAGATGGCAGTCAAAGCTGCTAAGAGAGAATTCTATGCAGCCGCGATTGCGTCCGCTAGCTCACGCCCAGCCCAATTGTTTAGAACAATTCGGTCTTTGACAGCGCTGCCACAGAGCAGACAAAATAGTAGGGAATTGGATATTGGCTGTGAGGCTTTTGCGAGCTATTTTGCGGATAAAATATTGGCGTTCCGCCGCGACCTCCCTGCCACAGTTGAAACAGTGAGCGAACTTGAGGCCCCTTGCACGTCCCGCAGGGTTTAGAATGCTTTGACCCGCTCAGTTTGGAGGAAGTTGACAGATTGCTCGTATCTGTACGTCCAACCACATGCCGCCTAGATCCGTGCCCTTCCTGGCTCATTAAGGCGGGCCACGAGGGGTTTCGAGGTGCCGTACGGGAGATTGTTAACAAGTCCCTTGCCAAGGGACGGTTCCCTGAGGCACTTAAGGAGGCGATGGTCCACCCTCTCTTGAAAAAACCAACTTCAGACCCGGCCAAATTGGCCAACTATCGGCCGGTGTCTAATTTGCCCTATCTGGGACCTCAGACAGGTAGAATGCCATAGACTCCACCCTCCAAACCAGCCATTTCATCCTGGGTAACAATTGCTGCCAATCTCCAGGTGAGGGCTAGAGATCACTCAAAATTACAACTGCTCTTCAGGTAGCAGAGATCAGTTCCTCTGGAGAAAACAGTGGACTCTGTCATTATACCCTGCTGAGGTCGCCACAGCAAATTGACACTGTTTGCCTAAAACCAGAGCACTCTCCCAGAGCCTCTTTCTAGATCTCGTTGTATTTATTTCCACAACGGGCCTTATTCCTAGTGAGGAAATAAAGTAACAGTCTCTGAAAGTCACTCTTCTTGCATTGCAGACTTATGTAGTCAAAAAGAGAAGCAACCTGTTATCTCAGGCTGAAGTCCGTCGAGCAAGAACGTTGTCAGGACAAGAACATTGACGTGCCTCTCCGGAATGAAGGCTGTTTTGTGGATTCCTTTCTCAGAACTTAATCAGAGTTACTTTTTTCTTCTTTCATATGGAATCCATTTCCTTGTGAAAAATCTTAATGGATAACCAACCTTGTAGTGCGGCAACAGCCTGCTCTCCACGGCCTTCATTCCAGAGAGGCATGTCAACGTTCTTGTCCTGACAACATTCTTGTCCTGACGGGACTTCAACCTGAGATAATACAGGTTGCTTCTCTTTTTGACTGCAACAAGTCTGCAACGCAAGAAGAGCAGCTATCAGAGACTGTTACTTTATTTCCTCATGTTGGTTTGTTTACATTCCATCATGTTTGTTATAGTTGGGCTTATACTATAAGCGTTCATTCAGTGTGGAGTGTGAGACGGTCTCTTTAAATCAGAAGCACCAGTGAGCGCATTTGTTTCTACATTGTATGTCTTCGTAGCATAACCATGAGCTTGGGAAAAAGTTCTGTTTATCGTTGTTATTATGTATTAAAGTGCAACAGAATTATATACATTCATATAAAATAGTGTTCTAAGAAAATTGCTATAAGCAGGACTAAAAGGTCAAATTTGGTTCATTTCGGTATTTTTTGCATGTGCATTTGTGAAGGGCAGCCAATTAAGTGGAGCCAAAGTTGGGAGAAGCATACAACTTGATTATGTTATGAGTTGGGAACCATCTCTACATGTTACTGAGGAAGAAAGTGAGATGTGATTTGGAGTTACCATTTTGTGTTATCCCCATATCATGGTGCAATTCCAGCATAATAGTGTGGTACAGTAAAGGCTGCGCTCTCCGGAGATTTATTGGGGGGCAGTTCCTTATATTGGAGTACTATCAAGGACAAATAAGTGGGTTCTAGATCAAATCAAGCCTGAACTCTCCCTAAAAGCTAAAATTAATAAATTGAGGCTATTTTATACTTTGGTCACATTATGAGAAGATGGCTCACTGGCAGGGCTTTTTTGGTAGAAAAAGCCCAGCAGGAACTCATTAGCATAATAGGCCACACCCAACAGCAGAAACTCATTTGCGTATTAGGCCACACCCCAGACAGCACAGCTCATTCGCATATTAGGCCACACCCCCATGCCTTCCCTTGGCTTGCCCGGGCAAGCTGACCCTTGGACAAGCCGGGGACCGCATGGGGAGGTATTTAAATGCCTCCCCGATCCTTCCAGTGGGGGGCCTGGTCCACCTGCCTCAAAGTCGGCAGGGGAGTCGCTCTCCAGGCCTTCCCTCTGTAGCCACCACTCACGCAGAGGTTTTGGCTGTAGTGGGTGTGGCCAACTCTGAAGCCAGCCGGAACTCCGTTCCTGTGGGTTCCTGCTCAAAAATAGCCCTGCTCACTGGGAATGACAATAGTGCTAGGAAAAGAGGATGACCGGACATGAGATGGATTGACTCTAGAAAGGCTGTTAGTGGTAGGACATTTTGGAGGACATTAATTCATAAGGTTGCCATAAGTCAGGAGCAACGTGATGGCACTTAACACATAACACACACACCATCGAGTACAGGTTACAATGGGATAGTTCTCTAAAGGGGAAGAGTTCCTTCTCAGTTTCCCCTTTTCCAAGTGGTGTCCTTGTGAAATTTTTCCTTTCCTGTAACTCAGCAGCAGACATACTGGTGCATTATGGAAAAGAACTTCCCAAGTACATGAGATGCAGGCTGTGTGGGGTGGGAGTGTCTGGGGTGGAAAGTATACAATACAATACAAAACCCTTTATCGACGTATAAAATCAGTAAGATAAGAACTTCGTCACGCTGAAAGGGTGGAAAGTATAAGAAGAAATCCAAAGAGCAATAATCATTCGCTAGTTTTATCAGCCCACAGGCACAGGAACTTCAGAAAGCTAGTGCATATAGAAACCGTTTAATAGAACATCAACATTTTTGTTTCCTCTCCAGGTGGCTTCATCAGTTTCAATGGTTCCTGGCGTGTTCAGGGGATCCTGGCCATGTCTCGCTCCCTTGGAGATTATCCGCTGAAAAATCTGAACGTCGTCATCCCAGACCCTGATATCCTGACCTTTGATCTGGACAAGCTCCAGCCAGAGTTCATGATCCTGGCATCCGATGGGCTGTGGGATGCTTTTAGCAATGAGGAGGCTGTTCGGTTCATCAAGGAACGCTTGGATGAACCCCACTTTGGAGCCAAGAGTATAGTCCTCCAGTCATTCTACAGAGGATGCCCCGACAACATAACAGTCATGGTGGTGAAGTTCAAGAGTACTAGTAAAACAGAAGACCAGTAAATGTCATGTGTCTCTCTGCATCTCTCTTGGTGAACTTCTTCAACAAACCTTTACACTTCAACGCAGTAGACAGCTGTAGCAAGTATATTCACATTAAGACTGTACCTCCAAAAAAAGAAAAAAACTTGGGATGAGGAAAATTGCTGTTTTGATAAAACAGCAATGCAGCAAACCCATTCAAAAGCAATGTTTAAGAAACAAATCTCCCTTCCCACCACCATTTTCTTTCTTGCAGCTCTGTAAGGGTGTAAGCTTAGCACATTCTCCCATTGTAAAGGCTGAAGACTCCCGCTTTGAATACCTGCATTTTCTCCTCTTTCAAATACTTCCTGTTTCTTAGTTGCCACCTGAGAGCTGGAATCCACACTTTAGACAAGCAGCGCAGGGGCAAGACAGGAATGACTTGTCGCTGGTCCGCAAGCCATAGGAATGACATTGGCTTTTCAGCAGTGTAATGTGATCTCCACTCTGCAATGCAACTGCTATGTTTGGTTTGTTTGTTTTTTCCTGATCTGCATACGTAGGAAGGCAGGTGGCAGAGGGCTTTGCAATTGTTGATCTGTCTTTTTCCTAAACAAATGGAAAAGAGCAGCCTTTCAGTGCAAAACAGGCAATCCTCCTTTCGCTTTTCATAGTTAAACATACCCTTTCTGAAACATAATTAGGGCCATGCTATTGAGCTTCTCCATAGCTGTGTATTTATACTGTCTGTACGCATGCCTTTAATGACGCCTTGCCTTTCTAACTCCAACCACAGATAGCTTTCTGTGGTCCTTGCTCGTCAGGAAATTGCACTAACAGCTTTAACTCTTGCTTCTAGATGCGCTGGTTGTCAGGACAGATCTGTAACTGCTCGATAATTGTCAGAGATTGGAGTGCGCAGCAATGAGGGAAATCAACACTATTTTAGCAAAAGAGATGCCTAGATGGGATTGAGATTTTGTTTTCAATTATCAACATAGGATCAGATGGGGGCAGGGATGTTGCAAGCATGCTGAAATGAAAAGTAGTTGCCTAATTATTTTGGGTTTCTTTTAAAAACAGTGTTTCACTAGGATAGAAGCTTAGTTCAAAAGATTTGGGGGGAATGGTTTTGACAGCCTAGACAGTTAATGTTGTCATTAATCCGAGATCTTCGTTAGGGATGAAAAGTCACAATTAGACTGATTTATAATTAGGAGCCTATGCATCATGTATGCTGGTTGTAGAAAATTGACTTTTTTCCAGATTTCAGTATTCCTTACTTAGATGCGACCTGGCTGTGAAGCTCCTACCCCACTCGTCATTTGATGAGGTCCTCAAAGGAATGGGCAAGGGTGTGGAGAAGTAGTTGAGTTTGTTAAATATGCTCCTCTGAGTCATTTTAGGCTATTGCACAAGACACTCTGCCTTGGGCCAGCCTTCATTCTCCAAGAATCTGGCCCGCGGGTGTCCTCTGAAGCACCTAAAATACTTCTGGCAGTTAGTGGGCACCCTAAAAGACTTGAGTCTTTTATGTCAGTGGCTGTGATTTGCATTCCGAGCTAGATGGATATTTCTGTGGGCAGAAGAATGTGGGTGCAATCTCTGTCCATCTGTACTATTTCCCTTGGGGAAGTAGAGACAAACAGAAGTCCATATGCACGTGAGGTCTGAATAACAGTCTGCAGAGCCCAACATGTGCAGGAGCTTCTCAGTCTATGAAGGGGGAAACTTGAATGCACACAGTTCATCCTGTTAAGAGTCATTTTCCTTCTAACAAAAGAAGAGACCCTATGGAGCTCAGCACAGTCATTAGCCCATGGCTAATGAATTTAATTAATTTGCTATGGGGAAACAGGAGGTGTTCTAGGCTAATGCTTTGGGACACACTCCTTCATTTCCCTTTTCATTGTCTATAGCTCTATGCTCGGGGTAGCATGGAAAATGTACTGTAATTTCTCAGAATCAGAGAATAGACTTGAAAATAGCACAGAGAAAGATTTAGCTAACTGAAGTGTATCTTAGCTGTTATCCCAGCCTTCTGATTTCTGTTCCTTGCCCTCATCTGTGACCTCTGCTCAATTATATTGAGTATGTTCTCAAAACAGATTAACTTGTAATGTCCAAATTCAGACATCCAGGGACGGTATATGTGCAAAGTCCCTTCACCTGTCCACATTTTGCTACCCTTATATTAATACCAAATAGATTTTAATTAAAAGATTTAATTAAAAGATCTATCTCTTCTGGTGAAGAAAATAATACAACAGGATTCTTAATTACAGTTAATCTGGAATGCAGAAAGGAAATACTAAACTAGAAAAAAAAAACCCAATGGCTTCTGTCTTTCAAGTTTCCAGATCTCTTAGGTGGTAGGGTTGCCAGACCCTCCATGGAGACGGGGCTCCCCCGCCAGCAGGCCCTTCCCTCCCAGCCACCAATCAGCTGGCCGGGGGGAGGGGCTTACCAATAGAAAGAAGGCCCAGGCCACGTTGCCAGGATTTAACTGGAAGTGATGTCATCATGGCTGTGACGTCCGGTTGACACTTTGGTATTTGGGCAAAAACACTGGGCGAAGCCATTTTTACCACAGAATTTATGCCCATTACCAGACTGTCGCCTGGATGTCACAGAGTGATGACGTCATTTCCTGTGCGACACTGGCAACATGACCTGGCCTTTACTCTTTCTCCTGGTAAGTGCCCCCCATCCCCCACTGGTGCTAGGGGGAACCTAGCAACCCTCTTCTGTGGTTTTGCAGCAGGACGAGATGATATGTTGTGTAAGAGTTTCAGGACTGTCCTTTTAACCATGTATTATATTGCTAGTAGGAGATGTATTCTCCGACTGCTGCATAGGCAATGCTTAGCAGTCAGTACTATACTGATTTTGCCATTTACTGTGTGATTACTGTACAGACATAATGAGCTTAGTATTGTAAGAAACAGGCTGGACAGGTATAGGAGATTGTGGATTGGATCCCCATGCACAAGGGGGTGGTGATTTTCTGTGATTCCACCCCTTCCAAAGCAGCTCTCCAACTCCCCCCTCATGCTACTCCTAGGGGCCCGTGATTCCCCAGGAGCAGCATCCGGGCAGCATTTCAGACTGCAGTAGAAGAGGGGAGGTGGGGAGGCTGCGTTTCCATGCATGGGATTTAGATGTGGGATCCAGTCCACTGGGGACAGCTCTAAATGTCTTGCTTCGAAAGGGATTGGTGCTCTGTTTTAGGGCACTGGTCATCATGTGCCATCCAGATGTTCACAGGGCCATCCCCCCTCCCCATGCTGATCACTGGTAGTCAAAACAGATTCAGAGCTTGACTGAGAAGAGTTGAAAGGCTCTTGCTAGCTCACATATAATTTTTAACTACCACAATTGCTCATTCATCTGAAAGGAAAACACTGTCACTAGACCAAGGACTGGGTTTCTTGTTAGTGTTCATAAAGGATATAACCGTTAAGTTCCAGGAGAGGCCATTGAAAAGTCAGTCTTAAATTTCCCTGGGAGTAGGATCAAAATCTAGGAACAGTATTAGGTTGCTGTAAAGTAGTCAGAGTTATTTATGATAACCTCACTTAACCCTGGGCTAATTTTCATTCTGTACAGTAACAAAAAAAATGGATATTTTTTTTTTGCATAGTGTTGATAGGCAAATGATGTGAGAGGTCCATCCATAAAGAACTGCACATTTACATCAGCCTTTTCAGCCTTCCCCTGTATGACAGTTTGCCTCATTTTTTTTCACCTATGGCCAATCCTTCTTTGTCACCAGTTTATTACTAACTCCTCTGTTGCCTGACGTACTTTATGGATGGTCCTTGGCCCTTGCAAAATCTTTAGACACATTTACCTGCATCATTTGCCGGTGTGACCTATGATCAGAATTGTCCGGGGGGATACTAAACTCTGTCACAGTAGTTTATAGGATCTCTTATCAAGAGGCACTTTGATAATAATTGTTTTTGAGTGGTTGGGCATAATTTGACCTAAGCTGGACCTAACCAGGAGCACCACAACCATCATTCTGAAAAGAAAGGAGGACACTTCTAGATAGATAGATAGATAGATAGATAGATAGATAGATAGATAGATAGATAGATAGATACATAGATACATAGATAGATGGATGATGGATGGACTAATGGTGGAAATAATAAGCAACATAACAAAAATAAAACTGGTGACATGTTGCAGTTCAGGATGGGTCTAGCAAGGGTGAAGGCCAATGCCATAACAGATGCTGCTAATTGTTCCTCAGAACTGTGACTAAAGAATTAATGTAGGAGAATTAGCTCATGATTATAAGCTTTAATAACCATAAAAAGTATTAGAGAAAGTCAAGAACAACTGAAAATTCTCCTCCTCATCAGTAAGTTAAAGGGCCTGATCCAGACCTTCCATGAACAGAGCAAGGCCCACTTAACCCTCCGCAGTGCAATCTACTGTACTCTCAGAAAATCACACCTGAGGGGCACGTGATGTTGCATGAGGGACTGCAGCAAAAAAGGGGAATTGGCAAATCTCTTTTTCCTCGCTCCTCAGAAATTAATGTAAGAGGACGGTCTCATGATTCTCAGGAGCAGCTTTTCAGGGGGGCCCAGGAAGTAGAAGCCACCAGAAATACTTGACACAAAAGCATTTCATTCTCAGGAGGATTAAATTGAAATAATGTTAAACCTTTACCCAACTTGATAGCTATTGTGTATAATTTCTTTTTTAGGCCACAAGATAGTATATTACAGCACAGGATAAAATGAGCAAATGAAAATGGAGATTTGATAAACAATAATCAAGGTATCATGCATAAATATAACCAGATAGTGTGTTAATTTGTATACTATTAAAAGTAGTGTTTAATATCTAAGGAGGGACAAAAAAATCTATAGTAACAGGCAATAGGCCTCAAACAATTATAGAATACAGTTTATATTCAGTCAACTGTTAAAAAGGCCTCATTTGCCCAGCCGCCTAGTCAAAAAGAAAAAAGGTCTCATACTCTATATGAGTTCATGAGGAATTACTAGCTTCAAATGCATACTTATAGACTTGTTTACAGTTTTCAGCTTGTAGGAAAGGCGCCAACACTAGGAAATAAAACTATAATAAGAGAATGAAGCATATCAGCATAATGGTATTGCAGAAACTATAGTTTGACTTGAGAAATGTGTAATATTTCTGTATAAACATGTCTCGCAAAACCCTCTTTGGGGGAATTTGAAACAAATTCTTATCATACATGGAGAAATACATGAAAACTGTTTCTTGACACATTCTGAAATTTAGGACATTAGGAAAATCAGGTTCTTAGCCAAACAGCAGTTTTCCTTTGATGCCAAGTTCAAAAAGAATACAGCCAGACCCTGAAGTCTTCATTATAATCCAGAATTCCAGCTGTAGCCTATGCAACACATATCGAAAAACACTTGCAGTCCCAGCACCTAGAGAAGGGGAGAGGGCAGCAAAGGCAAGAACCCCCTTTACAACTGCCTGCCAATAATATAATCACACACAGCGTTTTGGATTAAAATGTGGAATAAAATGGCCACAACTTTTATCGGTTACAGCTGTAAGAAGCATTAGCACAGCATGGGTCTGCCAGATTCTGGCATCAACTGACCCGTCTGCTGGTCGATGCACCCTGTTTGGGTACACAGTTTGGTGCAGTGGTTAAGTGTGCAGACTCTAATCTGGGAGAAGCGGGTTTGATTCCCCTCTCCTCCATTTGCACCTGGCTGGATGACCTTGGGCAAGCCGTAGTTCTGATAAGAGCTGTTCTTGGAAAAGAGCAGTTTCTGTCAGAGCTCTCTCAGCCCCACCTACCTCACAGGGTGTCTGTTGTGGGGAGGGGAAGGGAAAGGAGTTTGTAAGCCGCTCTGAGATTCCTTTGGGTAGTGAAGGCCGGGGTATAAATCCAATCTCTTCTTCTTCCGTTCCCCCACCACCACCTGCCTGCTGGTGAAGGGAGAACCAGGGGATAGCAGGTTGCTGGATTCCACAGGGACGGTCACCCTAAGTGGTCTCCCCTGCCACCTGAGCATGAGGGTAACCTGTTGGCAGCCCCTGAGCTGGGCATGCCCCTTGAAGACCCCCTCACCCTAAGAACTCTGCAGGGGATCCCAGGCCAGGAAAACAGCACGCAGGCTGAGTTCCCAAAATGCATCCGACCCCATGCTGATACCGCCCTAACGTTGTGACAGATACAAGAAGCAGAAAACATCATAAACAAGAATATAACCCACACTTTACCGTAACAGAACCTCCCAGAGGGGCAACCCACAAACACCATGAACCTTCTTCTCTTAAGTAGTAACACATAGGGAGGGGTGGGTGAGCAACCAGTTCTACACAGCCAGGTGAAGTAGCCGGGCAGCGCGGCACGCTTTATACCTCCCCCCCCCCTGCCGATCACTCCTTTTCCCCCCTCCCCCGGACACAGGTCAGGCCCCATCATAGGTCCACCTAGGGAGGGGAGGGCCAGGTTTTCCTGCCACTGTGGCCCCCCGGCCCCCAAGCTGCCCATGCAGCCCATCCTGCCCTGCAGGACATAGCCACCATGGCCACCCATCACTCTGTTGGCTCCCCCCCCCCATGTAGGACTGCAAATGGGGACCTGCTGTGAGTCAGGGTCCCCACTTATGAGAAATAGACTGTTGTGTCTTACAGATGTTTTTCTATGTCATTTTCTAATTCTATTCTGGGTTGGTGCAGACTTAACACTTAACCATGGCTTGTTGCCTTAGCCCTGGTTCATATGGCAAATGTACTGTGAAACTCTAGCATTCTCAGGCCTGCTGAAAGACAGGGAAAGTAGTGAGATGTGCTTTTGTCATCCTGCATGCAGACAGGTGGAAGGAGTAAAGAAAACACCTGAACCATGGTTTGCTTGGGGCAGATGATTAACCAGGACGGGACTGGCCACCTTGGCGCCATATGAGGCTGGTGGGAGCCTTGGCCACCATGACCAATGCAAGCCAGCAGCTGACATTTCACAAGGCACACCACAGCGAACAATTTTTGTGAGGCGGGCAGGTGGAAGCCAGTGGTACCCTCTTTGCATGAGGCAGGCACACACTCTTCCTCCCTACCTCTTTTCATGGGGGGAGGGTCCAGGAGCAGTCCAAAGGATATGGTCCTTACCAAGGCAGTTTTGGCCTCCCAGTCTACCCCTGTGATTGACACTTATTAACACATCACAGTGTGCGAGCCAGTTCATACTGTGGCATCACGTCTTGCTTTCTACCAAGCACTGTGGCCACAGTAAAAGATTCAAACATCTGCTTAACCATAGGTTAAAAAAAACCCATGGTTAAGCTTCTAGTGTCCTAGCCACACTGCTGGACCTCCTGATGACACCTGGTATTTTTGGCCACTGTGTGACAGAGCGTCGGACTGGTTGGGCCATTGGCCTGATCCAACATTGGCTTCTCTTATGTTCTTATGTTCTTTATTTAAAGGGAGAGAAAACATAACCACGATGTGGGCAGCAAATTAATTTTCACATTAATTTTAGCTACTTTTTTTTAGGGGGCAACTGGGTGATGTTCCTTTCTGTCTTAAGGAATGGAAGAGTTCATGGCCACTTGCAGTTTATGTGGAAATATATTTGCATTCATTGATTTTTCTTGCAGTCACGAATGTATACACGGCATTGCACAGAGCACCATCTAAAACATTGCATGCACTTTCTAAAGAAAATGCATCTAATGTGCACAGGAACGGCATCATGTTGCATACAGTTCTCAAATGATCTAGGTCATTAGATGCTAATTTTGTAATTGCCTGTATCAAAGCTTGTTGAATGTGCATATTCTTGTGTGGAGCAACATATATGAGTACACAGGGGTCGTTTCGTAGAAAAAGATCTAGGGGAACTCATTAGCATAACTCATTAGCATATGCCACACACCCTGACATCACCGGAAGTGTGTCATAAGGCCACACCCTCTGACATCACCGGAAGTGTGTCATAAGGCCACACACCCCGCCCCCAACGGTCCAGGCCGCCGTCGGCGGTCTTGTAGCTCCACTGCCGAGCCCCATGAAGGGCCCAGCGGTGGACCTGCAAGGCCGGCGGGAGTGCAAGGAAGCCCCGCGAAGGCCCTCCCTGGCCCCAGGCAGGCAGGGGTGGGGAGAGGCAGGGAGGAAGCAACTTACTCTCCCTCTTCTTCTGCCTCCTCCTGGCTGAATGAGGGCCAGAAGCGGGGCGGCCGGAAGCGGGGGCGGGGCCTCGTCATGTGCCCTGCCCACCCGTACCTCACCCGGGGGAACTGCAATCCCCCGCGATCCCCCCCGAGTTCTGCTAGATCAGAGCAATCGTCCATCTAGTCCAGCATCCTATCTCACACAGTGGCCAACGAGTTCCTCTGGACTTCCATAGAGGTCAGGGATGCTTTCTATGAAGCAAACGTCATTCATTCCCAATGAACATTTATGGTAACCATTTGTATTCACTGAAAGCTGCTAAAGCTGCTAAAGCAGTTAGTGTAATGTTCATAACACTGCTAGTTTGGCAATTACAGAACAATCCACAGAATAGTAGAAGTGTTTCAGCCGCGTTATAATCTACAATGCTGCCAAAATCCAGCCACAGTTAAGCATTTTAAACCCCATTGGTTTCACTGGGAAAGTTATAATGGACTCCAGTTTCTTCTATCACAATGAATGGGATGGAAAAGAGTTCAGTTTTGACAGGATCATGCTCTATACATTTAAAATAAGGATTGGTCCACACTGTTGGTTGTAATCTGTACATGAACACCATCTTGTGAGTTCTTGGATGCATGTGCAGAAGATGGAAGTACAATGGTATAACACTGTACTTCCATCTTAGGTATAACACATTTTTATTCTCTTTTATCATAGCAATTGCACATCCCGGTGTATTTACTGTTCACCATATGCATCCTGCATGCAGTCTTGGGTAAATGCATGCCTGAGGGTGGGTTCATATGGAAGTTCAATCAACTTTGTGAATGAATTTAACTTCCTCTAGATTATACTTTGGAAATGAAAAACATATCCTCAGTCCTGGAATGAACGGATCAAAGCGCTGCATTGTCATTCAATGACATGTTTTTTGCACTAGCCGATTTTTCAATACTGATTCACTCTGGTAACATTAATGATCTGCTTGCAAGATAGATTTGCCGTTTGAAAGGCAGTTGTGTTCTTTTGAAAAGACAGATATGCAAGTTTGGTTCATGTAAAAACTGTACTCTCCAAAAAAGAAGCATAATACCTTTTTATTAGCATCGACCAAATTGTCACAAATCACTGCGCACACATTGGAGAACACAATCTTTCTCTCATTGCTTTGTGACAGTTTAGTTACTTCTAATGAAAATCTGTTATGCTGCTGCATTTTTAATAAGTTTACAAAAAAGAGATCTTGAAAAGATTTCCTTGCTCTTTAAAAATAAAGTCTTATAATTATTTTTAGGCATATTAAAATGACCCATATTTGCCCATCACGGATATGATGTTGCATCTCCTGTATTGTCATTGGATTGTCATTTGAGTCAAACACAGGAAGCCTATTTTTGTATTTTAATGCATCTTTCATCACGAAAGGGCAGTGAATGAACAAAACCTCTAGGTCAAAGACATAGGAAGGCAACAACAGAAAAAGAATCAAGATGCTGGGTTGGATCCTGCCATCATTTCTACTCATGGAAAGTCTACAGTTGTAGACTTGCAATTTGTCCCTCTTACTGTTCCTATCAGTCAGTGGACTTTGGTGGGAAGGGGGAGGTGGCAGCAGTATTCCACTCACTTCCATTAATGGAAAGGACTGACAGGATCCAACCAAGAGGGTTTACTAGCTCTACAGTGCAAAGTTGAGCTGGTAAATGGGTTAGATATACAATCTACCACTTGATTCATTGGGGTTGCTTTTCATATATATGCAAAGTACTTACAAAACCCCTGGTGGTGGGAGCCATCTTAGAACAGGCATGGGTCTTTCAGGCTGGGGACAACGCCTCTACTTACCTGCCACAACGTAAGCATACCATCATCTGAATGCGAAGGGGGGGGAATGCCCTTTTCTTCAGAACTATTGTTATATATGCAAATAAATGCAGATTCAATAATCAAATAATGGATTAAAATTTGTACAATTAGCTGTCCTAGTGTTTTTTAAACTAGTTCCCACATTCTCTAAAGCAATGGTTTCATTAATTGCAGACCGACTTAAACAGACAGGTATTGGCCCAATATTTCATTTCCAATGATGTAACCAAGAGTGTGACGCATAGAGAAAGTGGTATATTGGGCACTGCCCCTCTTTGTAAAACACCACTTATTTATGAGCTGCCCCTCAGCTTCTTCTGCGGTAGGAGCGTGGCCACTGCTATCGAAATAAATGAGATTCTGAGTAAGCTAAAGGTTTTTTGGGTAGGTTTATGGTGAGAATTCTGGCCGTTACCCACAGCTGGAACCTTTAATCATCCCTTGCTCTACCACTTCGTAACATCCAGCCCTCTTGCAGGGTTAACACTCATTTCTGAGATCACAGACGAAGTCCCTGGAACAGCTACTGAAATAGAAATGTGTTTGTGGATAACACAGACGTGGGATAGTGTTGGCTAAACACACAGCTAGAATCTCAGAGCTACTGCGCTGCCCCAGAAGGGCATGGTTTGAAGGCACATGGATACCACAACCTTGCTGGAGCTTAGCAGCTCTGGGGTTGGTCAATGCTTCAGTGAGAGAGAGAGAGAGTCTGGGAATTTCAGGGTCCAAGGTGGGATGTGAATGTACTATATCTTGCACCTCTGTGAAGTGTCAGTTTATCACTGTGCAGTAGGACCTGAGAACGATCCAAGATCCAATCCATTACACTTCTTTAGAAACAGCCTCTGCTTCTGTTCCACGTCCCACCCCTTCAGGCACTGTTAACGAACACCTTATCAGAACACAGTTCTGAAGTGGTGGTTTTTTTTTTATGATGTTGTAGTGAGACAAAGGGAAGAGCCATTTGTGCCATGGTAGCTAAAGCTTATCAAGAGGAGCCTCTGGCCTTCCTAATGCCGGCTGTACAATTGGGGGGGAAGGATATGAAAGAGCCACTGAGACATTTTCTGCTTGGTTCGTCTTCCAGAATTAATTTTTGAAAACAGAAGCACACCCAGGTGTGCTTTAAGATCTGTATAAAGACACAAAATGGAACGTGCACATCTGTTTTCCAAACAAGAACAGCCTGGCAGTGAAACCAGAGATCATGTACCTTGTGTGGGCTGTATGTGTTGTGTTCGGTTAACACCTGCAAACATCTTAAAGCTGTGGACATGCACCCCTCTGGACTTCAGAAAGGATTCTGCAGGCAGCAATTTAGAAGCGAGCTGATTGTGTCATCTACAATTACACCTCGAAGTCACCTCTAGGAACTTAAACCTAGCAAAGTTCACTGCTTTATCCATACTGCACAGCAAGTGAAGGAACTGGGGAAGCCTCATTGTTCTCTGGACTCGTAGAGGTTTTCTTTTGTACCTAATTCTACATCTGTCTCTAAGAGACAAATTGAAACATGGGTCAAGTTTAATGTAAATATGATAACATTAGCTGTAGTATAACCCAAAAGTGACGGTGCTTGGTCACTTTTCGCTGTATGTAACTATGGTATCTTCAGTGTGTGTGCATTAGAGATAGATCATTATGAACCTGGGGTTTGGTTTTTTCCTTTTTTTAAGATGGGTGCAAAATATATGTTTCATGCAACTGCAGATTCTGTATTAACGTCTACAGGAAGTGTAAACTACTGAGTAAAATAAATTTGGTTGTATGGTTTAAAAAAATAAAAGCTTTAAAATGAGCGTATTTAAATAAATAACGGGAGTTTTCCTTTTTCTTTTTTTGTTCAGCTGTATTTCTGTTCAATTTCATTTAATTTTGACCAGACGTATGAACAAAATTTATATGGATGGCAGTATCTTAAAGTAGTCAACAACTTAAGCTATGTAATATTCGGAGGAATTTGTAACATGTGATAGACTGAAATCCAACTTAGCTTTGGCCATAACCAAGAGAAGCTCCTTTGAGTATTTACCATATTCCCATTAGTAAGTAAGAAATATATCTTTTGTAGATTTGACCCCCATCAATATTTTTAAAATATACATTAAATGGTATAGTAAAGGTAAAGGTTTCCCTTGCTCGAAAGCCAGTCGAATCCAATTTTAGGGGGTGGTGCTCATCTCCATTTCCAAGCCGAAGAGCCAGGGCTGTCCAAAGACTGCTCTGTGGTCATGTGGCCAGCATGACTAAACACCAAGGTACATGGAATGCTGTTACCTTCCCACCAAAGTGGTACCTCTTTATCTACTTGCAGTTTCTTGCTTTTGAACTGCTAGGTTGGCAAGAGCTGGGGCCAGAGACGGGAGCTCACTCCATCATGCGGTACTAGGGTCTCGAACTGCCGAGCTACCAACCTTCTGGTCTGCAGCTCAGCATCTTAACCTCTGAGTCACCATGGCCCCTTTTGAATGGTATAGGCAAAGAGAAATCTAATGGGCATTGTGACAGATCCTCAGTTTGATTGGCTTGCCTGCAAACTCCCACTTGTGAGAGACCAGCCACTTCTTGTGATAGGGAAAACAAATTCTGCTAGTTTTACCTTCCTCTGTGTTCCCAATGCCATCCCCAAGGGCCCCCCGAGCTTTATGAATGGCTTCTCCAGAGGCTGCAGTGGGAAGGGGAAAAGATTATTGTGTGAATCAAGCTCTATTCAAGGTTCTTTAGGTCCAATCCATTCAATGTAGACGCAGTAACTATTCAAAAACTGACCACAGGGGAGGCTCTCCTCAAGGGCACTTTACCCCCTTTTGATCAAGCAGTCTTCCAGTTCACATTAGTATTTGATCACACCATACACAGAACCATTTATTATGTTCAATAAAAGGATGCTTCCTTGTGGACCAGTAGATTATATACATCATTTGACACAGAAATGCCATGCAGTGGTTATGTTCCTTCCCTGTTTTCTTGTTCTTGTACACCCTGCAAGAAAAGTAGTCCATTTAAAAGGAATTCTGTACTAAGGCCATATGCTATTAATAGGAAGGGTTCCCTGACTCTCTTGGGAAAAGGAACATGGTGGCAAGAAGTGTCCTACTAAGTCTTGAGACAGATGGGTTCTTCTTTTTTTTTTAGCCCCCCGTAGGGGATTTTTTTTAATTGCATCTTCTATAAACTACAAAGAAACAAGGGAGGGCAACTACATACTAGGGGAGAAAGTAAATCAAAACCCCTAAAAACCCAAGAGATGGTGATCATTCCAAATATTTACAGTATTCGCTTATAAGTGTATGCACTTTAACATAGCTACATTGAGTACATTTTTCTTGTTGCTTATATCAGGAAGAGACAGATGGGTTCTTAACAGAGCTTAAAGCAGTATTGTATATATATTTGTTCCTTGGTATACATATCTTAATTTCATGCCACATGCCTTTGTAGAATGCAAAACCTGCAAAACTAGAAATGTCCAGGTTGATGCATACAACTTAAATTCTGATACATTTGCAAAAAAATATAGGTCACGGTGAACTGGTGTTAGCATGAAGACAGAGTTGCATTGTATTCCTTCCCAAGTACATTTAAGGTCCACATAAATGTCAGTGCAATTCCTACAGTATAAATTAAACAGGCCAGAAGAGGATAAGGCAGCTCAATCTTAGAGGCTCAGTGAATCGAATGAGTCTTTAAAACTTGGGACGGTATCAGCGGCAAGGAACTGGAGTCTCTTGCTTTATTTCTTGCCAGTACCTAATCATTTCATGAGAAGAGATGCCATGTACTGCGATCAAGTGCTTGTATTTACAGATATCAAAGTTAATTCTGTATAAAAAGAAGAGTTCTGCATCTGGAATACTGATACTCTCCCCAAGAATATTTAAGCAAATCCCAACATAGACATCTTCAAATTTAATGGGTTTGACATGATGCATCGTTTCATGAATCCTGCAAGCCAGCCTGGAATTAAGGATATAACCAAGTCCACTGCAGTATGGAGGATAAACATTAAATGGATAGTCATTGTAAGAAATATATATTTTCTTGTAAAGTCCTCTGTAAGAGGAACTGTGAATGAAGGGGTATCCAGTAATGAAGTTTTCTGAAATATTTGGTTTTAGAAGAAATTTCACTAAGTTGCCAGTGTTGATGAAGACATCAGAATCAGTTTTCATAATATACTTAGTATTGGGACAAAACTCAGCCACCCATCTGAAAGCCATGATTGTTTTCAATGTAAGGTTGTCATACGTGTCAAGGAAGTCTTGACGGATTATGTCTCCATAGAGAATGCTCTCATCTTTTATTGATAAGGCTAAACCATCTTCTCTTTCTCCTCCTTGGCCCAGTAAAAACAGTGTCCAAACTTGGTTGCCCCACCAGGATTTCTGAGAGCCCCACGTGATCCTAATGGCTTGTCTCACCTTCACATCTGCAGGTCTCGAAGCCACCAAAATAACCAAAAATGGGTTGTTCTCGTTGCACTTTATTTGCTCGCGTAGTGTGAAGACAAACTTCTGCTTATAAACAGGTTCATACTCGTAGAAATACATCCAGTTTATATGTTCTATCACAGGGTGGGTGGGGATTGCCACATACCATATCATTAATATGGCAGAGATAAGAGACAGAGTCCAAAAAACTCTTTTCAAATGTATTATGGACATAATAGTCTTCAAAACAGCCACAAAGACAAGATGGCATTGGCAACAAAGTTGTCAGAAGAAAGAGCAGGGCTAGGCATAAATTCTTGGCTGGAAAAGAAAAAATCGAGTTAGCATATGGAAAATACAAGCTTTCAAGTTTAGAATGCCCAAATCTCTGTAAAAGAGATTAAAGACATGATTATCACAATCGCTACTATCCATTTGTTTGCATTGTCTGAAAATGGTACATCAGCCAGGCAGTGATGGTAACAAAAATACCTTGAGGGCTGGAGAGAAGACATCATCTTGCCTGTCCTTGGCTCCCACCAAGGAAAGAACAGTTTGGTTCTAGGGTTGCCAGCTCTGGGTGGGAAATACCTGGAGGTATTCGAGGTGGGGCCTGGGAAGGGTGAGGTTTGGGGACAGGAGGGACCTAAGTAGGATATAATGCCATAGAATCCATCCTCCAAAGCAGCCATTTTCTCCAGGAGAACTGATCTCAATTGAAGTAGCAGATCTCCAGGCACCACCTGGAGGTTGGCAACCCTAGTTTGGTTATGTGGCAGAGTGACTGCAGCAAAAAGGGAAGGTCCCACCCCCACAAGATCTGGCTGCTACACAAGTGGTGCATTTCTACCAGCAGGAGATATCAAAAGAAGCACCAGCGATGGGAATTGACCCTCTGGGTCAAATTGAAGGAAGAGCATTAGATATAATGCTTCTCTCTCTGTGTCTCTCTCTGTCTCTCTGTCTCTCTGTCTCTGTCTCTCTCTGTCTCTCTCTCTGTCTCTCTCTCTGTCTCTCTGTCTGTCTGTCTGTCTGTCTGTCTCTCTCTCTCTCTCTCTCTCTCTCTCTCTCTCTCGTAATCGAAAAAACCAATTTCATGTTCACAAATATTGCACCTGATCTCAGGCTATTTTTTTCAGTGTGCAGACCTATGTGTGGTGAGGCACAACAATGCACTGTTTCTAACTGCATGCCCACCCCCACAGCATGTAGAACATCACGTGTATCTTCTTTCTTTATTGTCAGTAAAATACTCCACAAAGCACAATGGCTTGTAAGTTTACCAACTTGCTCACTCAACATAAAGGTTGAGTTAACAACAGTGACATACAAGCACAAATCTAAACTGCAGAATACTCGCATAATAAATGTTCAGTTGCATTTTAAAATAATCCTACATATAAAAAATGTCATATATATCTTTTAAAAATTAAAAAAACACATTTCCCCAAAATCCAGTCCGTCAAGATGCCTTCAAAACGTTGTCATGAAGTTTTACTGCCAATGAAATAAATTCTTCTACTGTTTCTATAGCCCTCTTATCAGTCCTCAAAAGAAGGTTTAAAAGATAGTTATCAGCAGGGAAAATAGCCATAAGAGGAATTAGCACAAGTTCAGCATACAGTTTCCAGGGGAAGGGGGACTCTAAAACCTGAGCTGCACAGGGACATAACCTCTGCTCTCGGGAAATTATTGCCTGCATATGCATAGTCCCAATACACACGACCAATAGAGAATGAAAGGACTGGAAGGGCACACAAGGGTAAAGATATGTATGCAAAGGACTGTGTCACATGTCAGAGTTTACATACTGAGGATATATACAACATTTGTTCCCATACAGTCAGGCACATATTGTCTATATACTGGGGTGAACTATGAATTGATCTGCTGGTACTAATACACTCAACTCTGAAGATTTCCTGTGTTGGGATGTTCCCTCTAAGTAGTGGAGTCTTGTGAGCAAAAATTCTACTTTGTGAGCTACTGGCATTAAAGTTGTGAGTGAGAGATTTGGCTACTGCATAAATAAGTTTCCTCTGGAGCCATCCTTCCTGAGCTTAGATAAAAATGTGTGAGCCAGAGGCTAAAAAACTGTGAGCTAGCTCACACTAACTCAGCTTAGAGGGAACACTGTGTAAATTACAAAATAAAGTTGTCTACACTGAAATTTCACACCCTGTGTATATTGGGGTAATGAAACTCCATAATGGAAGACCACAAATTATTTTAATCAACTCAGATCTGATATTAACACAGTATTCAAAAACCAATGCATTAATCTTTCAGTCTTCTAAGGCATTCTGTTGCTGATCTAAAAGTCACTGTTCCCCTACCCACCCCCTCAAGAAAAAACTTCAAAAGAACCCAACTTAAAATCAGGATTCATTACAAAGTTCAATGCTATATCCACTGCCCCCAGGGTTTTAAGAAAGATTTTGGATCTCATTTACTAGGGGTGCTAATATTTTAGCATGAGCCGTCCTTTACAGATGTTAATCTATTCATTCAAAGTCTGTATAGTCTCTGTACCTAAGGTACAGACTACAGACTCAACTACAAATAAAAGTTAAAAATGTATACCTTTCTTTTCTCTCCAATGGGGACCTAATAAGGGGAAGCTTGTAACATAGTTTTCCCTTCCTCCACTTTATCCCTGATACTTCTGAAATAAAAGCCTACATAGGCATTACTTCTCAAAAAGCAACTCAAAGAGTTTTGAATTTAATACTTTTTGAAATACAACAACTTTTACGTTGAACAATTTGGTTTGGCCGCTAAAATGTTGTGGGGGAGTTTTGCCACTAGAGGGAACTCTTATTACTTCATACACACAACCAAGAGAAATATGCCAGGAAGCTTATTGCCTTGTATATACAATGGACACAAGAGACCTCATGCAAATATACACAAGAGACTTCATGCAAATTCAGGAATGTATTCTAACCGTAGAGCTTCATGTATGAGGCTGCCTTATACTGGGTGAGACCATTTGTCTATCAGAGCCACAGTATTGTCTACTCTGACTGGTAGCAGTTGGTCTAGCAAGCCACCCCCTCCCTAGCATCAATTGGAAAGATGGGAAATAATAATACTGATTTATCTAATAGTGGGTTGGATTCAGGCCCATAGCCATAGGGGGCACATGAGGGCAATGCCCCCCCATGAATATTCCTGGGCCCCAGCAGGAGGGGAGGGAAAGGGGTGGACTCTCTGGGTCTTCCTGCTTCCACAGCCAGCTTCTCAAAGCAGGAAGACCCGGTGAGGCCATGCGGTGGTCCCCCCTCTCCCTCTCCTCTGATGGGAGCCTGAGCTGCAGGGGGGCTTGGGAGCTGCTGGTAAGTTTACGTTCCCCCCCCCCAAGCAGGTCCAATTTGCCCACTCCCAGCAACTTTCTAGCTTGATCTTATCCAATTCCCTACCTTACAACAGCCCCAGTCCCACATGGATTTTGTTTGTGTAGTTGGCTGGGTGGCTCAGACTGAGCAGGCTGAAATTAAGCCCGGCGAAGACGGAGGTCCTGTGCTTGAGTCGGACCGGACCGGGGTTGGGACTCCCGCTTTCAACCTTCGATGGGGCACCATTGGTGCCAGCTTCGGAGGTTAGGAGCTTGGGAGTGCTCCCGGACCCCACCTTAACGATGGAGGCCCAGGTGGCAGCCACTGCCAGATCGGCCTTTTACCATCTTCGGCTGGTACGGCAGTTGGTTCCTTTCCTCGACCGCAATGACCTAGCTACAGTGATCCATGCGACGGTCACCTCGAGGCTAGACTACTGCAATGCTCTCTACATGGGGCTGCCTTTGCCGCAAATCCGGAAGCTGCAGCTGGTGCAGAATGCTGCGGCCAGGCTGTTGGTGCGCGCCCCTAGATGGGAGCACATCCGACCTGTGCTGACAGCGCTGCACTGGCTGCCTATAGCATACCGGACTCGCTTCAAAGTGCTGGTGCTTACCTTTAAAGCCCTACATGGCCAGGGTACAACATACCTGAGGGACCGCATTTCCCCATATATTCCCCAAAGAGCACTTCGGTCGGGGTCACAACACCATCTGGTGACCCCGGGCCCTAAGGAGGCCAGGCTTGCAGCAACAAGGGCCAGGTCCTTTTCAGTGGCTGCTCCTATCTGGTGGAATGAGCTCCCGGAGGAGATGGGCCCTGTGGGACCTTGTGCAGTTCCGCAGGGCCTGCAAGACGGGGCTCTTCCACCAGGCTTTTGAGTAGGAGCTACCACTGCCACTACCACCACTGCTCCATTATACAGCTACACTGCCAAAGGGCTGGGTAACATCTAGCTGTGGTTTTGGCCTGCCCTTCTGCTATGCAAGATGTTGACAACACCATCTGGTGACCCCGGGCCCTAAGGAGGCCAGCCTTGCAGCAACAAGAGCCAGGTCCTTTTCAGTGGCGGCTCCTATCCGGTGGAATGAGCTCCCGGAGGAGATCAGGGCCCTGCGGGACCTTGCACAGTTCCACAGGGCCTGCAAGACGGAGCTCTTCCGCCAGGCTTTTGAGTAGGAGCTGCCACTGCCACTATCACCACCTACAGCGACACTGCCGGAAGGCTGGGTAACATCTAGCTGTGGTCCTGGCCTGCCCTTCTGCTATGCAAGATGTTGGGAGTTTAGCCGTGCTCTGATAGATTTGAATTTTAATTGGTTTATTTATATGGAATTTTAACTGTTTTATATATTGTACGCACTTTGTGCCTGTGTAAGCCACCCTGAGCCCATTCGTGGGGAGGGCGGGGTATAAATATAATAAAATAAAATACATAAAATAAATAGTTCCCATGATTTTCAGCTTAGCTTTTTTTTACTGGTCAAACAGGATTCCATCTTTCTTGGGCCAGAATGCACCAGAACACCATTCCAGCTGCCTTCTGAACCCGCCCCGCCCCTCCCCCTTCGGGGGCCCCACGTGGCGGCAATCCTCAGCAGGCAAGCTCAAGAGCCATGGGGGACCGAGAAGCCACCACGCTCCCTGGGTAAGGGCATCTGGGTCGGGGGGCTGGGCACGGCAACGGAGCGGCAGGGGGAGAGGTGGAGACCAACCAGCCCGTTCCTGCACCTAGGCCTCTCAGCGTCAATGAGATTGCACCTTTAACTGGGCTGCACAGGTGACATGCCTGCACAACGGAGCCTGTGCATGAGAAGAGCTTAACAGTAGGGCAAGTGCAATCACCCGCCCCTTCGCCACCTAAGCGATGGGCGGTCCCACGGGAAGCATTGCCAGTCCGAGCCACACCAAGGCCTCACAGCGCGGTAGTGTGTACTGGCCAGATCCTCTGGCGAGCTCCACAGGGCTGGGGAAAGGGTTTTG